GGAAATAAGGGCCTCCATTCCTAATATACAAATTTGGCTTCCATCCAGGAAAATGGGAAAATTTCCTGTTAGTTAAAATCTTCCAAGAGCTGAAAGTGCATACATACTGCATACCTCGGGGAGACGGAGGAAGGGGGAAGGCTGGGAATAGCTTGTGCATGAAAGCCCTGGAGAATCAATTGCTGTGTGATGTGGTGGGACTGAGTGGGTGTGAGCAGCTGGATCTCGGGGCACCTGTAGCATCAGCGAACCATCTCCTTTGTCTGGCCGAGGGTTTGGGTTACCCTGTAGCTGTTGCACAAGCAGAGTCTGGTGTCATAGGCCAAGTCCTGGAGCCTTTTTAGAGTTGAGTCAAGTGCAATTCAAGCTACATGGAGTATGGGTATGTATGTGTTACATATACGTGTGCATGTATAACACAACACATTTGGTGCTGCAGTGCAGATATATGTGGATTCTTGACTCACTGGAGGATCTGTGCTGTAGATAAACTATGGAATCTCATGTAAATTTGAGGAAACGATGGCAAACAGGAGTGGGTACAAGCAAACAGGATCTGAAAGAACTGAAGTGGATTTCTTAGCACTAGTAGTTGCACTTGGTTTGATTGGAATATTCTTTTTGGATCTGCGTTTGAAGAGAGATGTTGCTTATTAAATTGAATTAAAGTACAATGAGTTGTAATTCAGAATTTAAGTGTCTGCTAATGCAAGGTTGGAAAAAATAGGGAATCAGAGAAGAGCTGTGTTCAAAAAAGATGGCAACTTACTTATGTTAGGACTGCTAGTTGTGTTTGAATCTTCCCTAACTGACCTGATTTAATTAACATATATTGGCAGAAAAGGACCTGGAGGTGCTGGTCGACAGCCAGCTGAAGGTGAGCCGACTGTGTGCCCAGGTGGCCAAGAAGGCCAACAGCATCCTGGCCTGTATCAGAGACAGTGTGGCCAGCAGGAGTAGGGAAGGGATCATGCCCCTGTATTTGGTGCTGGTGAGGCTGCACCTTGAATACTGTGTGCAGTTTTGGGCCCCTCACTACAAGAAGGACGCTGAGGTGCTGAAACATGTCCAGAGCGGGCAACAAAACTGGTGAAGGATCTGGAGAACAGGTCTTATGAGGAGCGGCTGAGGGAACTGGGATTGTTTAGTCTGGAGGAGGCTGAGGGGAGACTTTATCGCTCTCTGCAACTACCTGAAAGGAGGTTGTAGTGAGGTGGGGGTTGGTCTCTTCTCCCAAGTAAGAACCGAAAGGAAGAGAGGAAATGGCCTCAAGTTGTGCCAGGGGAGGTTTAGATTGGACATTAGGAAAAATTTCTTTACTGAACGAGTGGTTAGACATTGGACCAGGCTGCCCAGGGAAGTGGTGGAGTCACCATCCCTGGTGATGTTCAAAAAACATACTGATTTGGTGCTTCAGGACATGGTTTAGTGGGCGTGGTGGTGTTAGGTCAATGGTTGGACTTGATCTTAGAGGTCTGTTCCAACCTAATGATTCTATGATTAGTGTAGATGGTTCAGACACTTGTAAACACTTGCATGCCGCCTTTTTCATTTTTTAGCTTTACTTTAGTGTAGCGTGAGCTGGTTTGGGTATTTTTGGTAAGCCTTTGAGTGAATTGTGATCACAATTGTTTAGAATATCTGCATTAGTGTTTGTGGACATTTGAGGGTCTATATGCTACGTCACTTCAGCTCAACTTAGCCGAAGCTCCAGGAAGAGTAAATATTCTAGGGTAGATGTAATCAGAAGGAGCGTTAATAGGAGTAAGGAGGGTGTCTTGCTTTGTATGTAGAAGTCTGTCCTAAATATTAACTATAAGTTACGGTACAGAAGAGACTTAATCGTTTAGCAGTTCCGTTAGGAACTGATCTCCAAACTTCAGACATGGGTAGTATTAAAATAAAATCTTTTTTTTTTTTTTTCTATTTAAATCATCCTATATGCCACAGTAGCCTGTACTAAAGGAATATAATTCAGAACAAATAAACATTACCTATTTCAACTTTTGCAGTCTAGTACAGATGCACTAAATTAAAGTTACATCAAGAATTAAGTAATATCAGCTCTCTGAATATGGATACAATTGTGTTGCATAAACTTCTACAGTGAAAAGAAAAGCAGAAAGAAAATGGGATCTTGCCCCCTGATTAATGAATGAGGAAAGGGTTTGATAGTAGTTGTCTGCACTGTTATTTGTAATGAAAAGAAATAGAATTTCTTCTGTTAATACAGTTTAACAGGTGATAACATATTGTCAATATAATAGTAAAGGAGAATAATGGCCAAATTAAACATGCAGTTGCAAGAAAAGTCTGTATACAGTAAAGATGATGCAGTTATGTCAGATTTGAGAGGATGAGGGGAGAATGGTGAATGCATGGAAGAGAAGACCACCAGTCGAATGGTGTGTTAAGGAGTTTTTAGCTGCCTTATGTGGTTTCTGAATCATTTCTGAAGACCTGTTAGTCTATTGGCAGGTATTAAGGGAACACATTGATCAGTTGGAACAATTTAAATTACACTTTTTTTGTTGCTTTATTTTTCTCTTTTTTTCCCCCTCCTTCTAAGAATGGAAATATATTGTCATTCTTTAACTTTTGTGAGATTTGAAATAATCAGAGGTTAATGGCAACTTGTCCACATCTCCCTGAAAAGCGAGTAATGTCTAAACCAGGTGTTTGTGGCACAAAGCAGTTCCATTTGAGGTATTCAACTGTTAATTTTCCTCTTAATTTCTGTCACTTGTAAGTAGGATGCGATGCTTGTGGATTCTCTGTGTTGTTCACTTAATTACCAGTTAGAAATTTTGGTCTTGAGTGCCTTAAACTCTTGGCCTTAAAAACGTGTGTTTAGGTACTTAAATAATCTCTTGATGAGAAAGAAATGTCTCTGGGCCCGGTTCTGATCTATTAAATGTGTGTGTCCTTGGGAAGGGGGCCTCGAAGCTCAGCTTTACACTGGAATACCAAAATCTGAATATAAACTGCAGATGTCTAGGTTTATAAGTCACAGCTGTGCTCATAAGTTAACAGCCAATATTTTGAACTGTTAAGAGATTGTTTGTTGGTAAACTGTGTCTCTTCTGTCTTTTCCCAATCTCTGTGAACAATGAGTATCCTCCAGTCCGCCTTTCCAAGTGTTGTATATATTGTGGAAGATAAAGAAATCTGTTATAATTTGTTGTTATAATAATTTATAGTGAAACTGTTTTCCATTTTATTAACCATCGTGTTGGTAGCAAATATCAAAGGAAACCCATTTTGCTGCCATGCACTGCCCTTGAATTGCTCCTGCCAGTTTTAATGCTGTTGTAATTACTTTTCCCAAATACTCTATTTCTTTTCTTTGCTTCTTGCCAGACCCAGGGGCAGGAAAGCAACTTTATAGCAGAAACAAGTCCTGCCTTTGTACAGTGGTATGAAATGCACAGAGTAAACAAATGAGGGGGTGAGGGATGGGGGATAGAGTGGGAGTTTGTTTTCCTGCATCACTTCACTTTTCTTGTGCCAATAGCAGGGTTTTTAAAAAGAAAAGAAAAGAAAAAAGGCAAATTGAATGGTTAGCAGTGTCCCTTAGGATCATAAATGAAGGGAAGATTGTGTATGTAATTCATAAACATCCTGAACTATACGCCTTCTATTTCAACTTATTAGGGCATGAAGTAGTGCCTGCCAGGTTAATTTCACACTGGGGAATTCGGCATTCATGCAGATCTTAATTTCCTCCTCTATAACAAAGCTGCGATAAGGAGAGAATAAGGCTATTTGAAAATTTTATTCCAAATAATTTGTTTTAAAGAGAAGTATTTTAGAAGTAGCCGCAAGACAATGACATTTGGGGTTTTTTAATTGAATTTGGAGAGTTACATGAGAATGTTTATTTGTCACTGGTAGGAAATATGTTTTTTGTCTAGCAAACAAAACACTGTACTTTACAAAAGTCTTCTCTTTTATAGATGAAATTATTGTTTTGAGTTCAGGATGTGGTGGGCAAACAATAAAAAAGAAAAACCACTTGCAAATACCACCAAGCTTTTCTTCTTTTCTCATCTGCCAAAGTAAGAATGGAATTTATTAGTATGGAACTATGGTCAGTCCTCTGTATTTTCATGGTTTTAATGGTTAAGACGGTTTTACTGGTTAACTGGAGTTCAACGATTGTTCCGTCCTAGCGCCTGCTTCTTGCTTCTGTGATGTGGTATCTGAGCATGAGCGGAGGGAGTCATCTGTTGGCTCTAAACAGGAGTAGGACCAGATTTTTATTTAAAACAAAAATAAAGCCTTAAAATTTTTATGAAGTGAGTATTTAAGAGACACGGAATCTCTTGGGTTTTTTTTTTTCTAACTCCAAGTGTTACTTTAGCTTCAGTTATGGATGCTGACTGATGTTGTCATTTGGGAGTGTCGCATTCAACTGGTCTAGGAAGGCAATTGAGATGGATTCCTAAGGTTTTACTTTACTCTCCAGAAACTGTTTTTTGTGGACATTTTTATAGCATTTCTCTTAAAACACCTAAATCATCAGTAAAGATTAATTTCTTGGTTTTGAGGTTGGAATGACTGGGAATTATGTAAGTTAAGGCAGTAGTGGGGTTGAGAATAATTGGGAGTTGAAGAAATTGGTTTTGGTGGGAGTTCAGTCAACTATTCCCCCTAGTGCCTTTGAAGACCACCCTACGGAGTCTTACTTGTTTAGGAGAGCCAATTGTGGCTTTATATAGGCTCCTTAAACCCATGTTTCAGAAGCTCCACCCATCATTGAAAAAAAATGAAAACAAACCCGCCACCAAAACCAACCAAACAAAACCGTTACATCTGTGAATTAAAAGTGCCTAAGTTGCAGAAACTAAGACAAACTTGAATAGCAAAGGCTCTACCCCTTTGTGGTGCATAAAGCTTATATGGAGATAATTTCAGTGTTTGTAGAGAAGCATACTCTTCTAAGTAATTGGTTTTGCTGTTATTTGGCTCTTATTTTGATGGTCCATTTTTGTTTTCAGCACCAGCAAACATTTTTAAATCAGCTGAGGGAGATCACTGGTATCAATGACATCCAAGTACTACAACAGGCACTAAAGGTAAGATGGATATGTCTGACTTGTAACTGAATGTATACATCTCAAGTGCCAGTGAAAGCCATAAACCCCACCCTTTCCTACCCTTGTCTTCCCTTCTTGAATACTTACCATCTTGAATACTTTTTAGATTTATTTCAGGGGAAAAAAGGGAAGGAATCTGATCTGTTTTGGTACTGACACAAAAATTAATCTGGTGTTCAAAAATGGAAAGACAGGAGTGGTATGACTTGCCTTTAACCTTTGGCTAAAGTGTTTTGAGCTATCTTGGTGCTACTACAGCTGGTCAGCTCCTGATAAGTTAAATCTTGTTTTCTTGTCAAGATGTAGTTAAGTTTTCTGTCATGGAGAGGTCCTGCTCGGTATAGATACATGAAGAGCTCTCCTTGATTCACTGTTTTTTTCAACCATTACAAATTCTTTCACAGCACAGATGAGTTCTTTGCAGGTAAAGAATGGCAGGTCTCTCTGTGTTCTGTTTCCCTAAATAGATATATAAATAAAATAAAATTTAGAAGTGCCTTGTCTCCCTCAAGCAGAGCTTTTTAGCCATTTATACAAGGTAAATGAGGATTTAGTGAATTTAAATGGTGGGGGTGTGTGTGTATATCTATATATAGCTATAGATATATTTCTTGCTTCAGATTCAGCATTAATCATGTACACAACTGCCCCTCAAAAGCCAGTATTTCTGGCTCCAAAAATGAAATGGTAGATTTTCAGAAGATTTCAGCTAACTGCTGTTGAAGTCTGTGAGAGTATGCTAATTATGCTTGTTGCAGTGTTGACCTACACTACAAGACCTTTAATTTTTTTCTGAAATAAGTGGAATTCTACCAAAGTAAATTTTGATGTTTTATCTTTATTTTGGTTAACAATAGTGAAGTATGCAGAATATGTCACGTTTGGAAACTTTCTTTTCTAATCAGTGTTTCACCTGAAAATACAATGTGTCATTTGCCTTGTAAGTTGCTTGCAAGGGTGAGGGGACTCTCACTTCTTCTTGTTTTATTGATGCTTAAAGGACAGCAATGGTAATCTGGAGCTGGCTGTGGCTTTCCTCACTGCAAAGAATGCCAAGGTTCCCCAGCTAGAGGAGGCAACTTACTATCAAACAGCCCTTCCTGGAAATGACAGATACATCAGCGTGGGCAGCCAGGCAGACACCAGTAGGTATTTTTTATTTTCATAAGTTTAGTTTAAAGGCAAGGAAACTAAAAAATTTGAGAATAAAGAAAAAAAATGAGATAACTGTTAATCTGCTGATAATTCTTACTTAACAATTTTTAGTACTCTTTCTTTCCTTATTTCAGTGATTTGTTTTTGTGGGTTTTTTTGTTTGTTTGTTTGTTTTTTTTCCATTTGAGCTATCTTTAACCATTACCTTTAAATGTATGTGTGGTACTGATCGAAGGGTGAATAACTGAGTTTTCAATCTCCCCCCCCACCCACCCCCTTTTATAAGATTTATTTTGGGCCCATGCAGCAAATAAGTAGAGGCAAAAGCTGGGAACTCTTCTGTCAAAATAAAATTGGAGAAGCATAATAAGCTTAAGAATAGCTTCTTCCTGACAGGGATGACTTTCACAAAGGGAGAAGCAAGAGGTTAGCTGTTCATTTTGTAATGAAAATGTAGCATTTTAAACAATTTTATTTAGTTGATACAGGAGATCCCACAACCTGTATTTCTCTGAGCCTTGCAGGTTCTATTCCTTTGCTTAAATGCATAATCACTTTTACGGGGCGGGGGGCAGGATGTGTTAAATGTGTTAGACATGTTAAATGTGTTTTGTATATAAATACAGGAAATAACATGAAAGAAAAAGCCAAAGGAAGTCTTGTAGTGGGATTGATTTCTGTAAAATCTGAGTTTCTTGATACTGGATTTACATTCCAACATTCTCCACATAGATGTAGAATATTTTAATTATATATATGATCCTTTGACCATATATGTAGTACATCTATGTAGCTTTTATTAAATGAGTAGAATTATTTAGCTTCACCCACAGTAGGATTTTTTTTCCCTTCCTCTCACTAATATTGGGGTGGCTACAGTGGCACCATTGTAAAGTTTAATTAGATCTCCTTGTCAGTTGTACAATTGTCTTTTTGTCTCTGGCTCCCTGACATAGACATCTTTTTTTAAAAACTTTTTTTTTTTTGTAATTTAAAGATGAGTTTATTCTCAACATCTCAGATCTGAAAACTGTATTTTAGTCTTTGGTATTACTAGCAAACCTGTATAAAATGCCCTGAGTGCATGCTAGGTAGTTGTATTGTTCACCCACTAAGTTGTGAAGTTGTGGGGGGTGGTTTGGGTGGGGTTGGGTTTTGGTTTTTTTTTTTTTTCCTTTTCTCTACTTTGGAAAGAACAAACACACAAACCCCCATGTGTATTTAATTTTCAATGTCAGAAAATTCACCTTGAGGAAATGCAAACTACTTTCAACAAACTTACCACTGTTGTCATAGTCTCCAGTACTGAAGACCTGCTATGGCAGTGGAAGAGTAAGCTGGATTCTCTTGCAGTCTGTGTTTAATTAGATTTATTAGCGATCCCATTAATAGAAGTGTTTAGTTTTGCTGTCACTTACTGTGCTGTGCAACCTTATTGAAGATATGAGAAGGAAGAGTCAAACCTGCAGAGTCTACATTACCCATGACTGATGATCAGAATGAAAAAAGCTTGAGTTGCACATTCCGAGCTGAATTTCAGGATTCTTTTCCGGAGGGCTGAAGGCAGACCCAGGTTCCTTACAGTTACATAGCACTGTGTACTCCTACAGGTCAGTAATTGAGAAGCGCCAACTGCTATGGAAAAAGCAGACAGATTTTTTAATTTTTTTTTTTAAACTTCTTTAGTGTCTGGTTAGGTCCTCACTGACAGCGAAGATGAAAGCCCTTTTCCAGCCTTTGCTGTTTTAGATACACAGAAAACATGAGATAAAGGCATCTTGGCCAACTTTTCTTTACATTGGAGGACTTATGGGGCGAGAACTAAATACCTACAGCAGAAAAAAAGTCTAAACCAGTCTGATTATAGAGCCCCCCCCTCCCCTGTGGAGTTCTGGTGAAAGCTTGTGCAAACCTACAGTTCCTTTGTTGTGGTCTGCTTGCCTGTAATTATTTTGATTATGAATTTAAAAAATGCAGGACACTTAAAATGGACAAGTTTCAGGGCCCTGCATTAGTAAGTACTTTCATGTAAGGGAGTATCATGAAAGACAGTGAATGACTTAGGAGAAGAGAATGGAAGGGTGGGCATAGATGGAAAACATATTCAGCAATGAAAGCTCCAACCATCAACACTCCCTTCTGCAACGAACACTATTAGCAGTTCTCAGTAACTATGCTGAGTTGCTGACAGTATCTTGCCTTTCAAATTCGACTCCCTTTTACTATCCCACGTAGGTATAATTATGTGAAGATAATTATAACTCACCCTTACTGTTCCTTACTGCTTAACTACCTCTGTGCATTTGGAACTTAGTATGTTATGAGTCACTGAGCTTTGCGGTCCCACCAAGTTGTCATCCAAACTGGGGATGAGAGAGAGTTACAGATAAGTATCAGAACTGTCTTTTTTTTTTGTTTTGTCACAGAAAACCTCCAGCCACTTACAAAGGCTTTTGAAGGTATATCAAATGTATTCCATGAGCTTGACTGACTACATTTCTTTAAAATGATTACTCAGTTAAGGGATAAAATAAAAAATTGCATGTATACCTTACCAGTCAGCCGTTAGCCTGGATTGTGCACCGGCTCTTCCAAAAGTGACAGCAGTCATTCAGCTGTTTTAGAGTTGGATTCTGTATGTTAGGAGGTACAAGGAAACCTGATCTGTCTTACTAGCAAATGCAACCATTTCAGCAGCTGCAAAAATATGAATGAGTTTGCATAGTATTTACTCCCATCTTTAAAAGCAAAGGCTGACTTGCACAATCAGTGTTATTCACGATGCTTGTCTTTTTGCCTGTTCAAAGTGGCATGTGCAAGCACCTGCAAGTGTAGCTTTTTCATGTCAAGAGTGATGCATGCTTTACCTGATCCCTTTGCAAAGGTGGTGTTGCTCTCTTGGATTTTTTTTTTTCCTTACTGCTATCTGTTAGTGAGCAGAAAGTGCTTGAGCATTAGGGTTGCAATGTACAAATGAACACTTTTTAATCTAAGATCACTTTAACATTCTGCTTAGTAAATTTCTAGGCAAAACAAAAGTATTTGTTGAGTAGTACTTTCCAATATTTTCACTTTATTGATTTCTCTAGAAATTTTTTTTTTGCATTTGAAGTAATTCAGTGTAATTTTGTCTATGGCTGTACAACAGAACTGTTGTATTGCTAAGCATATATCCATTTCCTTCCTACCATTTGAGAAACTTGCAGAAGCCAGTGTTAAAGGAAGCAACAGAATGAGAAGACATGTATTTTAGAAGTTGTATTGTCTCCAAATGAAATAGCTTTCAAGACAAATTCTCTCTCCATTCTTTTGAAAACTCAGAATTCTTTTTCACAAAAAATGATTAGTCTTTGTAATTGCACATTCCACAGCCAAAACAAAAGATTTCAAGCTCTTTTATAAGGACATAGTACAATGTAACTATAAAATACCACACACACGAACTTGAGGTTTGTAGACTTCATTGCTTCTGGGGACGTGGCCTTTTGTATCTTTCAGTTCCCAGACTTTGAGCCTTTCCATAGGTTTCAAAAGTCATTCAGACAACCCTTTCCAATGAGGTAGACTTACTTGCACCTAAAACCTCCTGAAATGATGATGATATAAGTTTTCTTAAAACAGTTCTGTTCTAGAGACTCAGAAAAGTTTATAGAGTAATTTGTTTTGGTGCTTCACTGTCCTTACTTTTAGACTCCTAATGTCTTGCCTAAATCCCTCTTGCTTCAGGTTAAGTCATTTATTCTTTGTGCTGTCCCCTGTGGAGATTATAATACACTTCATTCCTTTTATCTCGGATGAAGTGTTGCATGCTCGAAGATGGTGTATTGTAATGTCCCCTCAGACTTTTCTCAGATCTAGACTGAACAGCCCAAAATCTTTCCAAGTCTTTGGAGACATTTCCTATACCTGTTGTCAATTTTTTTTCCTCTCTTCTACACCTATAAATGTTCTGCTTTTTTTTGTGAATGGTGGCACTGAAAACAATAACCAAGACTTCAACCGAGTTCTTAAGAAAAAAGGGCGAATCTCTTAAGTGTCCATGTAGTACTCTTGACAATATACCTCAGTATAACACTTCATATTTTCTTCACTGCTGTGATGATGTGAATTGCAGGTTGAACATGAATCACCTGTAGCTCCTAGATCCTTCTTGGCCCAAGTCCTAGTCAGCCCTCATTCTATAGCTGTGCATTTTATTGTTTCTGTGAGTAGAATTTGACACTAGCTTCTTCTGTCAGCTTACCTAACTCAGATACCACTATGTGTCTTCATGACATTTCCTTCTATTTCAGGGATTATTTGTGTCGTCTTCATCAAGCTTCCTGAGAGTGTCTCCAGCTTGGTATGGCAGGGTCCCTGCTTCAAAATATCAGGAGTCTTGCACCTTGAGGTCCTCCTTTTGTCTTACAAATTCACTTGTTCCTTTGTTCCACAAATACCTCTCCCTGTCCCATCCCTATCAGTGTGAGAATTGTCAGTTTAAGGTGTTATCATCCTAGGATAGTGTAAATGCAGCTGAGACGAGGAAGTTCCTGTAAGATAGTGTTGGCTAACATTTGCTAGCTCTTTCAACAGAGCTGTTTGGGTTGGCTAAGTAGCTGCTGGGGTGTTGTGTATTCTTTCCCCATCCAATTTTAACCAAAATTGGCATATACAGCCAATTAAATTCCTTTAAACCCTTACGTTAGACCATCATGATGTTTAACATCACAGAACAGATGGTAGAATATAGGATCTTGCTTAGCTCTGCTCACAATAAACAAAACTGATGTAGTCTCAACTTTTTTTTTTTTTTTGTTACATTGTTGGTGTGTTGAAATTGGAGTCTTGCTGATGGATTTTCATACTTGGCACCTATCCACTGAACCCATCAGGCCTACCCCTTCATTTCCCTCTCCCTTTGCCAGCGATTGCATCACTGTGGTTTGGGTTTGTTTTTTTTTTTTTTTATTGCCCATCCCTGGGTTCAATTGCTACTTCAGATCTGTCCCTCATGCTGAGTTTCCCAGCCTACTTAAATTGGAAGTTCCTACTCTCTGCCTCCTCCTGGTATAAGTAACAAGTCAATAACACAGTAATTATTTTAATGACCTAGGCAATGACCAAGTAAGAACCATTTATTTAAATGATGATAGAAACTTCCAAAGTAAACAGATTGATAAGTTTGTGTTTTTTTTAGAAACATAGAAGATATATGGGGGTCAATAGATGGTGTGTGTATTTAATACATATATATACACACACACATGCGCACACACACACGTATATTTGTCACAGATTTTGATACACAACTTAAAATTGCTTTGTAGAGTTACCAATGATGTCAGACCCTCTGGATCTTATGTACCAGAAGCACACATTATTCTATAATAGTGTTCTATACATTTCTTAGTAAAACAGTTGTTTAACTCTTCATGTTAATTTTAATTGAATAAACATCATAAATACACTAAGGTAGACTATTTTGATAAGCAGTTTCTCCATTCATAAAGAATTTTTTCAGAAGCAAACTTTTTTGCTTATTTAGTAGTCATGGCTTAGTTAAGAACATCTGCATTTTCTAAGGCTATGTGGTGTACAAAGAAGTACTTTTACAAGGATGAGCCAGTGAGAAAAAAAGTGTTCTGTGTCCTGAATAAGAGGAGTATTGTAGAATCGGCATATGTAAATTAAAGTAAAGTAACTATAAACTTGGAGAAGTGGCATTATTCTTAATACCTTTATGAAGTGCATCCTTCAGCCTACGACAGGAAACTGGTGTGTGTCTGATAAATACTTTGGGTAAAGGTCAGGGTTTTTTTCTGCAAACTCAAACCTTGAGCACAGAAATTGGTTGGCCAGATAGGAAACTTCAGTAGATCAGTTTCATGAATGAATTCCGCTACTAATTACTATAAAATAAACAGTCGTAGGTTTGCATTAACACTGTAAAATTGAAGTGAAATAAGTATTTTAAAACTAGGGTTATGTTGATTTTATTAATGCTTGTGAGAAGGCGAAGTGATCATACTTGTAGTATGACTGCTTGAAAATGGGACATCTTTTAACTAAATAAATAAATAAATAAAAATTTCCCATGTAAGAATTTACAAAACATGATAATTTTGAACAAAACAAAACAAAAAACCTGCATGAATTTAATGTAGTATAGGTACATTTGTATAATCTGTAACCAACTGACAGGAGTGCAAACTGTGTAGACAAGCTGATACACATATTTTATTCTTTTTTTTTAAAGTTTAGTCTGACTGTTCCACTTTGTTATGACTTCTAGTGAGATCTCATTATAATCCTATGGTTTATGATTCAAGTCATACATGAGCTGTTGCAGCTTAATGAGTTACTGTGTCAGCTGAGATGCTGAAAAAGACCTTGGATCTGCTCCAAGCACAGCAAACATGAGCTAAAAGACGCTAGCTTAAATCTCCAAAACATTTTTATTTTACATTTGCTACAAAGTAAAAACTTGCATGGAGTAGGTTACCATGGATTGGCTGATATTTAGAAATGCATTTTTCTGACGTAAGTTATGCGAAATCTTCCGTGACATAAATCGGCTGCATCGCTCACATGTGGTGGTAGTATCTGGCAGCAGGTCTTCACTGTATTGACTTTTTTCATGCAGATCAGGAACTATGTATATGTGAAAACAACATTTCTAAAGAAAATCCTGTTTTGTCTGCTCCAAAACCCTTTCAGGCCGAAGGAAACTGTTGTGTTGATCAGCCTTCTGAAAGCAAGTGGAAGTCAAGGATTTGGGGTTTTAATATTAGTGTTGTCATTGCTGGTAATATGAACGATAATAAACTTCTGAACACATAGGGTGGTGGTAGAGTTTAATAAAGATTAGGGAGTTAGGGAGGTGCAAAGAAGGTGAATAAGTTAATGGAAGTGTGAGTTGGAGTTGACCTTGATAGATTTTTGTACAACAGTGGGAGCTTTTGTTAACCATGTATTTTTCAGCTAGGTTATGAGTTCTTTCTAGAAAAATACTTCCCATATAAAGGAGCTTACTTCTTAAACTAACTTTTTTTATTGTTGTATAAAAATTTCATCACTTTTACCTGACTAGAGACTAGCTAAAGGAGTATTCCCCTCTGTAAGTAAGTGATCAGAGTAATCCCATATTTCTCCATCAGCATGTGTGGCTGCTGAATTGAGGCTTAATCCATCTTCAGTTGTGACCACTATTACTACTTTCAGAAAAACAGCTTGTCTGCAGTGGAGATGAGGTGCTCGTGTGTGACTACCTGCAAGTGGGTGGAAAATACAACATAAGCACACATTTTGGAGCGTAATAGGTAGTATGTGTGGTCACAGGATCCATGTTGACCTTTATAGCCTTTCTCCTGCTGTCAGCCTGTAGAACACAGCCATGCTTGCATGTGACCCAGGTTGAGGTATTATTTTAGCCCGAATTACAGTGTTCTCAACATGACAGTTCATATATCACAACTCCTCCGGGTGAGACTTCTACTTGTGGTTCTTGTAATTGCTTTAGTACTTCTGAAGGAGAATTTCAGACATCTGAGTTGAAGTATCCTTCCGATATGCTGGAAGATCTGAGCTGACTATAAAAGATGTAAGAATAAAATGATGAAGTGCTGCTTTTGTGGTCGTAGTGTTTGTCCATACTTCCAGATTATGACAGGTTGCCCAGTTTACTTTACAGGTAAGAGTGCTTCCTTTAAAGGCTTACTAAATAAAACAAAAATTCAGCCATCTTTATTTGGGGGACACAGGGCTAAGCTGAAAACTAGCTTTTGAAGATGCTGGTGTTAACAGAAATGCTTCTTTTAAAACTTCTCTTCGGTTTCAGCTTCTGTAGGACAAGTCATCCCATTTTCTGTTCATACACAACTATGGCAATGATTTTTGTATCATAAATTCAGTGTTTTATTTCGATCCAATGAGAAGTGTCACAGACAAGTAAGCCCAGGCAAATAGGGGAAGCTGTCTCTACAGTGAGTCATCTCATCCAGGCGAAAAGTCAGAAGCTAGATGAAGCTTTTTGGGTATAAGTAATTGAGCTGGCCTGTGGATGGAGAAATGCGAACAAGCTGCTCATCGCTCTTTGTGAGCAATCATCAGTTTTGAATCTGTATCTCTCTCTCCTGGAGTCTTTTAGCTTCTAATGTCCAAACCCCAGGCTGTAGAGTAGTCCGTTTCATAGCTCTTAGGGTAAATTTTGGCCTTGGAGGAGGGAGACTGAAACCAGCCAATGCTCCATGTACGTGTCTGTCTAATACTGCACGTAAAAATATCTTTTACATTTCCCCCTCTCTTTTTGACTCTTTGCAAGTCTTCCTGACTTTGAAAATGAGACTTTTGGCCCTTGAAATCGTGATGACCAATGACCTTGGCTTTTCTGAAGGTTTTGTGCAGTTGATGGACATTCCTGTTGGCCCTGGCTGCTCTGAACACATGGCTGTGCACAACAGGGGGATGATTTATGTGGTGGTGTGATGTGTGCAGTGATATCTCTCTTTAATCAGGAAGGGGAGTGCTGTCCCTTCCCTCAGGAAACAAGGAGGCTTACGGGGCACATAAGTATCTGATCCTATAGATAATGGGAGCTGAAGAGGAAGACAGAAGTAGGGTTGTGTTCATCTTCATTACCCAGTTGGTAGCCCACCCATTCCTCATGTGTCCAAGTACGGATTCTCATTTTGACTTAAGTATTTGTTTTGTTAGTTCTCCTGTTCAGATGGGATACTTTCAGTAGATAGAAATTAGATTTAAATACGTTCAGAAAAGGAATGCACAGACAGGATAGAAAAGAATTAGGTTAAGTAAGGAACTCTTCCACATGTTATGAAATGATGTGAAAGTATTTGGCTCACCAGTGCACAGAAATACTTGTAGAATTTGGGGCTGTGTTGGAAAACTCTGCATGCGTTCCTCCATGAGGAGGGAAACACAACTATGCTTGGTTAAGGTATCTTTTTTAAGAGATTGTTGTCTTCACGTGTGCCCTGGGAGCAACTGATTATGGTAGCTGAAGTAATACGTTTAAGTGTATTGCTTTAAGAGGGCTTTCAGAAACCGTGGATTCCTAAATTTGTCCCATAGCTTTGTGAAACTTAAGAACATTAGGAGGAAGGAAGACTTGTGCCTGTCATATCTTAGCAAGAGCAAGCTGCTGAGGTTTTTATCCGGCTTGGATGTAGAAGGCAGCTCTTAGCAGGGTTAGTGGTTGAAATAGCTCAGGGCATAGGAGGGATGAACTGGAATGGCGCTCAGCAATCCACGTGGGCTCTCTCTCCTCTACAGTAAGACTTGCCTTTCATTCTGTTTCACTTTTAATTTTGAGAAAGATAGTTTTGCTTTTCAGATGTGATTGATCTCACTGGAGATGATAAAGATGATCTTCAGAGGGCAATTGCCTTGAGTTTGGAGGAATCAAACAGGGCATTCAGGGAGACTGGAATAACAGATGAGGAACAAGCCATTAGCAGGTAAACGAACAACTTATATAAAGCAGACGTTAAATTAAAGAGTTGGAGATTGGCCTGTATTGCTTTTTTTTAACTTAATTTAACAAAGAATAACTTGTTTACTTTCACTTGTGCTACTGATATGCCTGGCTTCAGGATGTTGCTTTAATGTATTGTATGTTCTACACTGGAAAATAGTCTGTTATGTGTGGGCTAGGATTTAATAGTATGTTTCATGTTGATGTATTTGTTTAAATATTGAGGAAGTAGATGGAGATAGAGGATATACGGTTGTATTTAAATAGGACCTAAAACTTGTGTATCAGGTAAAAAGCAATGAAAACATAATATAATTAAGAAGCTAATAAATTCTTTGTCCTGTTTTTTGCAGTGTTCATTTTACAATAACATTTTCTTACCTCTGTGCTAAGGTTGAGATTGAGGGAGGGCATAGTGATGCTATGACTTGAGTATACTAAGAGCAGCTGCTGTATTTTAGCTGATCAAGTATGTTATTAACCTATTTAACAAACAGGATTTATAAGCTTTGAGTAAAGTTAACTTCTTGGTTTAAAGTTTCGTGAACTTAACTTTCTCAACTCAGGTGTGATAAGAGTCTGTAAGTTAAGTTTTGATCAGATTTTACAATGACTTTTGTACAGTATGTGTGTTTATATGTAAATATAGTTATAATTATGAAATATTTGGGACTTGAACTAAGCCTGCGTGTAGAGGTGTGGGAGGGATGTTGGGTTATTTTCATCTTTGGCTGCCCTTGTTCTAGGGGAAAAGGACAATGATTTGATCCTTGTGTGAGAAGGTTAAGTACTGCCTCCTTGTGAAAGACTAATTTTATAAAAATTGGCTTAGATGGGGGAGATTTACCACAATAATTCCTTTTCTCAGTTCACTGTATTCAGCAGACTAAATGGCTTATCAGAAAAGTCCAGCTCTGAGAATATGGAGAGTGTTACTTTATCCACAGGCATTTTCTTTTTCCTTTTGAAAAATAAATGTACTAATTCTGAGAATAAACATACCCCTTCCTCCCCACATTTGTGATAAAAGCCATCTTGTTATATGAGTTTAAGATAACATATTTTTGGAGAGAAGGATGGGATGAAAGGGATTTATATTCTCATTAATAATTGGAGGAAGATTTTTCAGGTGTTATTTTTTTTCAAAGACCTCAGTATGTGCATGTGTACAAGATAATGGTGGAAGTTCTGTCCAGTTCTGATTGAGAAGTTCAGCTCTTGCATGTTCCTTTTTTAAGGACAGAGTTGTCATAATTACAGAGTTGTGATTTAGGCAGGCACTCAGAAAGATGGACCTATTTCTGGATATGGAAATCTTTCTCCCTTTTTTCGTTCTCTAGGCTTTGACTGCTCCTGCTGTGCTCACTTCTTGGGAGCCTTGAAGCTTTAGTTTATTTCCTGTAGACTTTGTTTTTCACTTCTGAGACTAAAAAGTCCTTTTTCTTCGTATCTGCTTAGCCCATAACTAAGTATTAGAAATGCATTGTATTTAAATTATGGTGGGTTTTTTTTTTCCCTGGTTGCAGAGAATAAGAAATTATGCCTTTTTTTTCCTGTATGTACAAAGGCATGTAGACAATCTGTTCAGTTATATACAGAGAAAATGTTGGTGTTTTGATGAAACAGCTATGTATATTTGATGGCAAAATTACACACACAGTAGCATGTGCCAGATTAAGAGCTTGTTGCTAACAAGGGAGATGTGGACTGCACACTGTACCATATTTTCTATACTTGCTGTAGTATTTTTTGAAACATTTGTTGCTCGAATTAATTTCCCAAAGCCATACAAAAATATTCACTAAAATATCCATAGTGTATCATGGCACAAGAAAGGGAATGGGACTTTACTTGTGAATGGAGGCAGAGAGGAGTGAGAATCTTGGAGATTTTGGCAGCATTGATGTATTAGATCAACTCAGTTACATACCAAGATACACCCTGAGTTGATGGCAAATAATGTCCGAGTTGTACAAATACAGGAAGTTCAGAATTCTTGAATTCTTGATCTGAACTGTTCAGTCAGTTTCCTTAAAGACAGGGCTTCAGACTGTTTTTCAAAAAAAAAAACCCAAAACCAACAAAAAACAAACAAACAAAATCACTTTGTAGTTCACACCCCACAGAAGAATGTTGGCATTCCAATAGAAAGCACAGTATCTGTGCAGGACTTCTCGAAACAAAAAGTAGAACACTGTGGTTGTAAACAAGTCAAGCAGCAACCATTTACTTTTGTTTTTCTAGGTTAAATAAGAAGCAGAAATCAAATAAGAAGTCGATAAAAAGCAAATTAAACTATGGAAGTATTTCATTTATAAAAATGTAGGACGTGTGCATGTTTGGTCTTTGGTGTGGAGGAGTTTGTTTTTGTTTTTTTTCAAAGTTATTCGTAGTGGTTTGGAACATAATTTGCACTGATTTTGTTAAGGTTTCCAAGGAAGCGTTAATGGAATTTCTTGGTTTGTGTAATTGATGTTGTAATGCACGTAGAATTTGTCTTCCTGAATGTAATTGCCTTGTGCTACTTAATGAGGACAGATCTGATTACTTCGTAGGTGTTGAGAGGAGTGCAGCTGAAATGTCCCTGTGTCCAAGCTGAACATCTTGTACATGGCACATTGAAAGTTTTTTACTATTCTCTCTTTAAATGTCCCAGGGGAATGCGCACAGTCTATTTCCTGACTTGAAAAAGTTTCTCCTGTTTACATTAATTTTCATGGATTGAAGGAGAATGAGGCTGGCCGGATAGGGCTTCACTGAGGAAGCTAGTAAGACATGACTGAAAGGAGACATTACCTGGCCTGTGTTGTGCCTAGGGTAGCAGCCATGTTACAATGGGGGCCCATACTATGAGTGCATAAGGATGTGCACAACCCCTAGGCTTTTTTTTTTTTAACATGGTCATTAAAACTACTGAGGATTCTGCACTGTGGTTAAGCATTGTGTAGATCAGAGGTGAAACTGGGGAGGGACGTAGGGTTGGGGATATTCCTGGATGTCCAGCTGTAAAACAGTCACAGTATAAAGACTTTTCCTTGTTCTTTTAGCTGAGTAGCCTGCTAGAGTGGGCTCTTCTGCAGCATGGTTAGTGGGCTTCCTCAAAATGGTTTGGCTGAACTTCTGCGCTTTGGACTCGCTTTGCCTGAGGCTAATTGCATTGTCTGGCTAGCCCCATGCAAGCAGCCCTGAAAAGCTGCTTGGCTATGCTCAGCTTGTTACAGAGAGAAATAAAACACTGCTTTCAAGTCCCATGCCAAGCCTGGCATTAACTAACCCTCACTCCAGAGTTTCCCTCCAAACAAGATTCCAGCGCTTGGAGGTGGGGGAGCCTTTGGTCCCGTGAGGCCAGAGAAATGCCATACCCTGCACGTAGCTTATGGCTCTGCTGCTGGCGACTGCGGCTGTGGTCTCCGAGGGTCGCAAAGAGGGTGTTGTGGCTGCGTAATCAGAATGCTAAATCCTTGTACTCACTTTCTGGAAGGAGGCTTATTTTGTTGAGAGCGATGTGTGAGTAAGATTCTTTGTCAAGGTGGTCTCCCAAATCAGGACTGTATGAATACAATATAGTGAACGTTACAGTGTAAGAGGTATACTCACTGTGCTGGTAAATACATTTATTTATGCAGCTTTTGAGCTGATCATTAGGTTCCTGTTTACTGTGCTCACTTTTATTTCAGTTTGCATCAAGCTATCATTATAGCTGAAAATGAATTTGGCGTATAGGTTGTGCAGCTATTGCGTGTGCTCTCTGAGGACAGATAACATTGTAAGTAAGATTAAGGAAAAATATCATGAAGCTTTGAGAATCAAATACTTTATTAAGACATGGAAACAGATTTGAGGTGGAGCTAGAGATGAGAAAAATCCTTCACCTGCTAAAGAAATACAAAAACAAATATAAGGAAGAAATGTTAGTAGGTCATTAAGTTGATAAATGGTAAAACCCTTGGAGTCAGGGAACTGTTTCAGTTTGAGAATATATATTTTTCTGAACTTGAATCTTGAAATATTTTGAAATATTCTTGAGCTTGGTGGAGGGGAGGGGGAAAGTTTGATTGTTTCCATGGAAAAAAAAGTGGTATGGAGTAGGTATTGTAATCCTCTTACAACATCATTCTAAATTTGTTCCAGTCTGTCATAGTCTTCCTTTCAATTTTAAAGGTCCCTTCAATTTAGTTTAAACAAGAGTTTAAGTAATTCTACCTGAATGATAAATTACTTGAAATATGTATGACATTTGTTTCGAATGAATTTTTAATGACCCCATCAAATAACTTTTACTCTCAAAGCAGAGATACACTGGTCATCTAATACTTTTGAAGGATTGTATCAGCGAGAAGGGAAGTGAATTTGCCTGTTTCTTTACATTTTGGATTTTGCTTAGGAGGTAACATTATTGTAAAAGACTCCTACAACTAGCAGCTACTGAAGAGTCAGGTTCCATCCCTATGCATTGTTTGAAGAGAAGTCAAAGCAGAAAATCTTAGAGGATTATATGCCTGTCCTTTCAGTGCTGTTTACAAGGTTATCTGTCAAAAACTAGATGTCAGAAATTGATTAATCCTTAGGAAATTACAAGTTTTAGGTTCTTCCTGAGATACATTGATACAAAAGTGGTATTTATACCAAATGGTCTCTCACATTCTGAATGCTTCTATTTTTATTTTTATTTTTCAAAATAAGTAGCAATACAAAATTAGTGTGTCCCCCAAAACAATTATCTACAGTAAATGCACGTTATGCTTCATGGTTCTTGTATACCTTGTAAGATACCTTTTCTTACTTTGACAAGAGCATAGCTTGAAACAAAAATCTAGTTAGGAAACTGAGTGATTACATCGTGTGTGGTTTTTTTTGGTCTGTGTGTCGTGTTCCAGTCCCCGCCCCCAGCCCCATTTCTTTGTTTTTTCTAAAGTGTTCAGACTTTGCTCTTTAGGAACTCCATTTACAGACCAGCCTAAACCTCCCTGCCTTTGATGTTTAGCGAGTCTAGAACCAAAGGGGACAATCCCTCATGCTGCTTAGACTACTTGGATGCTTGTCATGCAGCTTCTGAAATCCTGTGCTTGGTGAATGTAGTAGTTAAATAGCAGCTCAGCCTTTTGCATGATAGTCAGACTAGGTGGTTGGGGATAGTGACTACTGTGTCAGTAGTGCACATGCCAGGCAACTTTGCTTATGAGTTCAAGCCATTGTTCTATGACCTGAATGTATCCATCTCCATCTTTCTATTTAGAATATGTAGCTACTACAAATTACCTTTAAGGTGTTCTTTGTCACCAGTCTATGTGCTGATACAGAAATAACTGTATTGAGTGAAGCTTGAGTTTGGGAGCATAACACACATCAGATCTTACTGTTGTGTGAAATATGGACATTCAGCCTAAATCAGTTTCCTGCAAAGAGTTCATACAATTAACTTGTTGGGTGGCGTTTGAAAGATTGTGGAGAGATGTCTTTCTGTGGCTCATAAAGTAACTACTTGCCATGAAAAGTGATTAATACAGGTGTGTAAGTTGCAAAAATGGAAACTAAAAAAGCTTCTTCCATTTTTGAAAGTTGCCTAGCCAGCTTTGATTTCCTGTCAGTAAAATAAATATTAGTGACTTTGTGCTCTGCATACAATAAAGCATTTGTAGATGAAAGCACTACACTATGTGCTGCCTAAAATTTCTTGTTGTCCATCCTGTTTGAATCTGGTTCTTAAATAATTGATGACTTGCAGACTTGGCTCTCATGTCTAGAGCTCTCACAGAAGATTCGCTAACTCACTGATACTGTTTTCCAAAAGGTAATCGGATTACTGTAACATATCTAAAAGTAAAATAGCATCTTACTTTTGAAGATGTATTATTGCATATAAATGTAAAAAAAAAAAAAGAAAAAGCTGAGCAACAGTAAGTTAGCTAATGATGTAATTAAGATGTCTGTATTAGTAACTGAACGTGTTCTACTATGTATTTTTTTGTTTGCTTTGTTTTGCTTTTTCTCACATTTTTCCCTCCCTTCTGTTCCCGAAGAGTTCTAGAAGCCAGTATTGCAGAAAATAAAGCAAGTTTAAAGAGGACGCATCCAGAGGTATGGAGTGACTCTCCAAACCCTTATGATCGAAAGCGGCAAGACAACTGTCCAGTAGGATTAAAGAATGTTGGCAACACGTGCTGGTTTAGTGCTGTCATTCAGGTAAGCAATCTCTTTGATTAGCTGTTTATACTCCTCGTTGTATTTATTGTGAGGTGAGTTACCTTATTTTATTTTAAGTGGATAACTTAAGATACCTGTTTTCCTGGGAAGTTTAGGCCACTGCATGAGATGTTTTTGAGCATTACTTACTTATTGCATCACTTAATGTGTTCATCCATAAGTCTGAAGTGTAGAAAGTACTGTAGCATAACTAAGTGAAGCTTCAAAATGCTTATTAAAAAGTTGTTGAAGACAAGAAGTCGAGTCTCTGGGTGTCTGCAGCTCATGCTGACATCAGTGACAGCTGTGGATACCTAAGAACACGTGAAAATTGGATTACAGATGAGGAACAGACTTTTTATATTTAAAGGAATGCATGCAAATGACTGAAAGAGGGTGGCTGACAATGGAGGTAGGTAGAGGACGTGAGACTCCCTCAAGCATGGAGTGCTTACTAGAATAGCTACAAGCAAATAGATAGCTGAGTATGGTAAGAGAAAGACTAACTGATAGAAAAGGAGACTTGAGAAGGAGGAAAGAGAAGATCTGAGATGGATGCAATTGTCTGGTTTGGGTTGTTTTACCTACTTTTTTTTTTTTAAGATAGAGTCAGTAGGGAAACAAGTACAGATACTGCAACTTGTCTGGTGAAATCTAATGTTCTAGTGTCAATAGTTCAACGTACATAAACTTTATGAATCCGTCTTTCAAGAGTTTTCTTTTTTAGAAGTCAGTGCTAAATCTGTGTATGTTTCTGTAAATAATTGGTAGATACATTCAAAAGCATCCAAACCCACAGAAAACTGTGGGTGAAACTGGATTACGACAGGGGAAATGTGTTTTTAGTCTACAAGGAGCAAATTCAGCATACTGTAACTCTTCATAGTCTGACATTTTGAGAGGAATCAAGTAAAATATTTAATACCCATTTTTAACAAATTATTGTCAGGCTGAAGCATTTCAGATAAGCTACTTTCGTACTGATGGCTGTTGTACTTCAAGTTGAGTCCATTTAGATCAACATTCTGCCTTGCAATTTCCGCAAATGGATGCTTACAGAGGAGAACAAACAGTAAATGATATTGCTCTGTTAAAACACTCCCAAGCCTCCAACTGCTTTCGTCTGGGGGGAGTTTCTCAATTCTTTGCAGTTTGTTTAGGTGGTATCTCCAGTGGACCTCTCTTTTATGTACTTGTCTCCCTTGAACATTGCAAACTTCTTGCACCTGTAGGATCCTTTGTGTGGCAATTCCGTAGTTGCATGATGTTCCCTACTGTATGAAGAACTGCCTCGTTTTTGTTTGGTTTTTTTGAACGTGGCTCCCCCTAGCTCTGTCTAGTAGCCTCCCTGTCTCCTGGTGGACAAGACAGTTAAAAGTTGATTGCTGTTACAATTCTGCGGGCTGCTGTCATACCCTTTTTCAACAGGTCAGCTGACTGCTGAATTGTTGCCTATGTAGAATCTGTTCTAACCTTTGATCCAACTTGTTGCTGTTCTCTAGATCTTTTCTAGCTCTAGTAGCATTTTAGTTGGGGGACCAGGAAAATTCTCAAGGTGCGAGTGGGCTATGAATTTATGAGGTGGTACGATGGGCAGATACAGGCTTTTCAGGAAAGACAAGCAGGGATGACAAGGAAAGGCGTTGCCTTGTGAAGAAGCAGCTCAGATGTATGTGGTACTTGTGTGTGGCTAGATGATAGTTTAAGATGAGAGTTTGTGGGTCAGGATCAGAGGAGAGGCTGGTAAAGGCACCACCCTAATTAGTCTTTTACAGACCACCCTCCTCGGGATGAGGACAAAGCTTTCTTTAAAGGCAAGGAAGTCTTTGGATTGTGGTCTGTGGTTCCCATGGGGAACCTTAATAAACATCCTGACACCTGCAGGAATTCCAACACAGCAGGACACAAATGAACCAGATTTCTGGAGAGTATCAGGGACAACTTCTTGATATGAGTACTGATGGGCCAACTAGATGTGGTGCACAGCTGGATCTGCTGTTCCCTAAAATGGAAGAACTGGTTGGAGATGTAGTAAATTTGGTACTTTTGGCTGCAGTGACCATGAAAGTCCAGTGGAGTTCAAGATCCTGAAGGGAGTGAGGAAGGAGTAGCAGGGTATAGACTCTAGAGTTTGGGAGAGCAAACTTTGGCTTCCTCAGGAAGTTGTTATCTGGCATCCCATAGGAGGCAGCTCTGATGGGCTGTGGAGCTAAGGAAAGCTGGCAGCATACTGTAATTGCAAGCAGGGTCCATTTTGCTGCTCAGGGAGCCCATGGCCAAGCTGCAATCCAAGCAGGCAGTGTGCAGGATCTGGAAGCAGAGATGTGCTACTGAGGAGGAGTTTGGAAATGTTGCCCAGGCATGAAGGGATGATGTTAGGAAAGTGAAAGCTCACCTAGAGTTGATGCCTCAAGGGATGTTTAGGGTAACAAGAAGTTTTGATGCTACGCTAGTCATAAGAGGCTGAGCAAGGAGAATGTGGTTCTGTTGCTGAACAGAGCAGGTGTTTTAGAGACAGCAGGCTTAAATAAGGCTGAGGTAGTCAGTGCCTTGTTTTGTCTTAGTCTTCACCGATGAGATCTCCCAGACTACTGTGCTCAATTGGGGGAGACAAACTGAGTGATGGTTAAGGATTCAGAGATCACTCAAGGAAACTTCACCCCTATAAGTCCACAGGACCCACTGAGCTGCATCCAGTGGTACTGAGAGAATGAAGGAAAGTCTTAGCAAGGCCACCTTCTATCATCTGGGAAAGGTTATGGAGAATCAAAGAGGTTTTTGATTAACTGCAGGCAGGCCAAAGAGTCAACCTGGGAAGCTATGGGGTGGTCTGCATTAACTGACCATTTGAAGATGGAGCCAGGCTTTTCACAGCAGTGTATATTGGGAGGATGAGGGGCAACGGGAGTAAGTTAAGAGAGATTCAGCCTGGACATAAGAAGCATTTTTCCCCATGAGGGCAGGCAGTGGAGATTGCCCAGAAGAGAAGCTGTGCAGGCTCCGTTGAACCTTGAAGACATGCCTGGAAAAAGCCCTGGACAATCTGATCTGATCTCAGAGGTGACCCCCCTGCTTTGAGCAGGTGGTTCGACAAGAGACTTCCATCAGTCCCTTCTGAGCTGAATTACCCAATGATTTTATAGAATATTTTATGTTTCATTCTGTCTTCTTTCTTCATTATTTTTTTCTGCTTTAACTACTTCATGCATTGAACTGATACTTTCATGGAACTATCTGTCGTAAATTCACAGTTTTGAATAATACTCGTTAGCTTGGTGCCTGTCATTTTCTATAAATTTTAGGATTACTTTCCACTGTGTACCACACTGTACACTTATCTGTGTTGAATTTAGCTTTATTATGTAGTCACTCAGTCCCATACGATCCTTCTGTCAGTTGGTCTTTGCCAGGTCTTGTTTTTATTACATTGCATATCTCTGTACTGAGCAAACTTGGTCACCTTGCCTGTTGCTCTCTTTTCTAGATCACTTCTGAATTTTGCTTACCAGCACAGACTTTGTCAAATAGCGGTAACCTCCCTTCAGGCTGGAACAGATGGTTTGCTCCTGCCCTCTTTTTTTTTTTTTTGATTGCATGTCTGTGCCTGGACCTTCCATCTTACCTCATCGCTGCTTAGTTAAAAGCTTTTGTTGAATGACTTCTTCAGAAATTACTCTGAAATCCCAGTAGTCTGCATAAATTGGATTGCTATTATCCATGTTCTTTTTGACTTCTTGGTGTTGGATGGTATTTTTTTTCTGTTTGTGGTAGGGATTTTTTTGTTTGTTTTGGTTTTGGTTTTTTTATGGGCAGGATTTCCTTACCTGCAGGTAATACTCAGGTAACACTGTAGGTAATGAAACAGAAAGACTTCTTTATTTATTCTGCAACCTCCCTTCCCACCGAAGTTTTTCTCTTCTTAGACCTCTTTCTTTCAGCATCTAGTAGTCTATCAGGTGTTTGAATTTTCTGTTTTCCTGAGATTTTTCCCTTGTTCCTCTCTTCCTTTACTTATTCCTTCACATGCATAACTCTTTTTTTTTTTTTTTTTCCAGTAGCAGAAACATCTTGGTGCTAATACAGAGAAACATTTTATTTCCATAAAGCTCTTTGTGGAGCTAATATGACTTGGCGTTTTACCTTCTCTGTCATATAATCAGATTTTACATTCTATAGTAGTCCCAAATCTCAAGATGACTGACTTTATATGTATGTGCATTTCTGTAAAACAAATATTTATACATAGGAAACTGCAAATGTTTAAATCAATGTTTTCAAGGAAACTTGAATTTTAATTCATTAACCACAGAGATAAGAACAGAAGCTAGAGAATGTTAAAACCTATGCTAGACCTATGATCTTGTGTTATTTATATGCGATGTGCAACTTTATACCTTGAAAACGGATTATAAAGAGTGCTAGCTAGTTTTTATGGTCACCACCCATATTATGTGAAAATCTGTGGCATCTGAAATTATAACAGTTTGATCCTAAAAGATAGTTAAACTTCTGTGTTTAGGTCTATAGAATGTAATTCAAGTAAACCACTGAAAGATTTATAACTTTACTTGATTGAAAGTTTAGGTTATTAATGTCTACCAGCTAGGAAGACTTATGTTTCAACCAACCATCCCAGGGAATTTACTGCATGTTAATTTAGAGCATTAGCTAATACCATATTTATTTATCCACAGGGCAGATTGACTCCTTGGGTTGCACTGACTATGTAGAAGTATTTTCAGGCTTTCTTTGGGAGTCTTTTGAAACCTGAAACATCACATAGGTCAACAATATCTAAATGTTAACTACTGTCAGTCACAATGATATATTGTGTAATATAATCTAAAACTAAATTGCAAAGAAAGAAAAATCTTTTTCCTTCTATTTAAGGGGTGCTTGTTTAGGAAGAAAAAAGTTTTTGACATTTTGACAGTTCCATTATGCAGTGTATATTATTTTTTATAGCCACTAGTTAGCCAACTTAGTCAAATGCAGCCATC